GTGTAAATGGTTCTTTTATCAATGCTTTTCGTAATTGTTTAGATTTTAAGTTCGACGGTTTTAGCCATTGCTTGTGTCTAGCTACAGCTAGCGACGCTACCATGGTTTCTATAATATAAATTAATAAATTTCTATAGCTACTGCCGAAATATCATTAAACCTGACTATATACATATATGTACAGTAAAATTACAGGCTTTTTTTCTTCAAAATGAAGTCTGCTTTCAGTAAAACGTTCTATCTGCAGTATTTAAGGTACTTTCCGTCCGTGTGGTAAAGCCGTGGGCCACCCTGTATAGTCTGTGTGTATCGTAAATATGAAATAATTTTTTGTGAACGTTGTTTTTAATCATGAGTCACGATCACAATATTTCACCAGCTCAATGAGGTGCCGGAGGTAGACTTTTCGAGATGATTATAAAAATTTTCAAATTTGCGCTCAATAAGTATATTTTTATTTCTTCCTGATTTTTGTCGATTCTTTCATGAATATGAACATTATTCATTTATTTATTTATTTATTTATTATTATTAGGCACATCAACATCAACTATTTGACAATCAACAAAAATTAGACATGAGGCTAGGACTGATACATATGACAATTACAGACGTACACAACATTCGCTACACGCTGGACTATACATATTTAATCAATTTCACGACAACAACACAGACATATTTACACAATACTTAAAAAAAAAAAGAAAAATTACTGGGTAATAAATTTTTTACATAAATTGAAAATTTAAAAAAACAAAAGCGAAAACAAAAACAATAGATTAATAGACATTTACATGCACGTACAATATTACCTTTACATTCATTGACTTACAATTATATTACATTCTATAATACTACCGATATACTGATATATCGGGTGTGGAGAAAGCAAGGTATCTCGTGCAAGCGCGCTGAACAGACTCCAGTCTTCGCGATGCCACGCCATATAATGGGTTCCACACTTGGCTAGCATATTCAACATTACTGCGTTAAAGTGAATTGTATAGAAGAACCTTTGTTGCAGTTCGACGGAAACCTTTTGCATTGCGTTTCACGAAACCAAGCATCTGGAAAGCCTTCGCAAAGATCGCGTCAATATGGGAGTTACTTATTTCTGTTACTTCTTGTACACAGCACAAGATTCAACTTGTTTGCGTAGTTCAGTGGCCTTTTTTTCTTATGAATTTAATATGGTACTGTAGTCTAGGCTCTACTCTATGAGTAGAAGTACTGGCTGAATGAATATAGATTAGTATTTAGAATGTATTTAAAAAAATAGGATAGAAAAAAGAAGAATATCTTGGCAGATCTAGAAGTAGCCTCCATAAGTGAATATGTGAAAAGCACAATAAATATCTAGTTATGAAGATAATCCCAGTTTATATTTATAAAGTACCTCTCGCTACGCAACCTGAACTACGTCCTAAGCTACAAATGGTGGAGGCAAGCCTATAAATGGTAGAAGCGAGTCTTTAATGATGGAAAATTCCAATGAAGAAAAATCCGATGTGAAAAAATTTTATATGTTTTTACGAAAAACCTCCAGGAAAGCGTACATAAGGTATCGTAGTTTATATTTTTACTTATATAATATTGTTTTATAATTGATACCAGTGAAAAGTGCAAGAAGAGAATATGTATTGTACGCCGCCACAAAGGTTTACTGGATTCAACGACGTAGATGAGTTTTTGAATCAGATTGAGGCCATCAGTGTATTAAATAATTGGTCTCTGATTTGCATAAGAGATACGGAGGGGTCAGCTCTACAATGGTACAAAACAATTTTTCTTCATACACGACGTATGATGTAATTGCACAGAAGCTAAAAGAGGAATTTCCCTCACAGATAGATTACGCCCGAGAGTTTTATTATAGGCGACAGGGGCCTAACGAATCGCTGACAAGTTATTTTTATAGTTTAAATAAGTTAGCGACGAAAGCGAATATCCAAGATGTTCTTCTTTTTTCTATCCTATTTTTTTAAATACATTCTAAATACAAATCTATATTCATTCAGCCAGTACTTCTACTCATAGAGTAGAGCCTAGACTACATCCCTCTTCTTCACAACTGAAGGGGTGAACATCCCTAGCTGGTGCCCTACCTATGATAGGCAACTTACATAAGTGATCAGCCTTTACTATAGGCTAGCCACATACTGCTCGGAAGCTACTACCTTACCAACAAGCAAACCACCGAGGAGGCTGTGGCTTTAGTCTGCCAAAAACCTATCTAAAAGGACAGACCGTGACCACATCCTAATCAAACAATTCAAAATATAATTATTCGTTAGCTATCCTAGCAATTTAGGTAACCTGTCTAAATCCTAACTCTTACATTTGTTTATATTTAGAGTCATATTATCATTGTTACACCACGACCACATTCTATCAAGATCAGCTTGAAGGAGTTCACAGTTGTTGGGAGTGGCACTTATATACAGCTTCAAGTCTTCAGCAAACAGTGAGAATTTGCAATGTTTAATGACTTGACTTACATCATTCACAAATATCAAAAATAGTATTGGTGCAAGGTGGGTGCCTTGCGGCACATCATATGTAGCGTAACATGCATGCGATTTGAATCCACAAGTAGCTACAAATTGAGATCTATTTGCAAGATACGATTTGAACCAATTCAAAAGCGAACCACATATTCTGTGGAGTTCTAGTTTGTTTAGAAGCTTAACGTGATTAACTTTACGAAAGCACTTTTGAAATCAGTATATACAGCGTGAGTTTCGTTATTTCTATCTATTTCTGTACTTATGACTGAGACGAATGACACCAGATTGGTAACTACCGATTTACCTGCGCAAAAGCCATGCTGACTATCCGATATGTTGTTTTGTACGTGATTTGATAGTATAGGGGCCACTATATATTCAAAAACTCTAGCAAAGCACGAAAAAACCAATATTGGCCGCTAGTTTTCCACATCGCTAGTATCACCTTTTTTGAAGATTGGACGACTCTTGCCTGTTTCCACTCACTGGGAAATATACCGGTTTGGATGGGCTTCTTAAATATAAGATATAATGGATGTGCCAGGGAAAAGCAGCATCGTCTTACCAGCATAGGATGAATGCCATTTGGTCCACCGCTCTTTGTAATGTCGATTCTTTTTAGAAGCTTTAAGACATCCCTCACAGTCATTAATATGTCACACATTGAATCGCCTAAGGCACGAGCCCCGGATATCCCACCAAGTACACTTTTATGGGAATAGACAAATGCAAAATGCGAGGCAAAAAGATTAGCAATATCCGTCCCCGTATCTGCCTTCGTTTGACCCTTGTGCATGGTTCCAGGCAACGACGACTCCGCTTGTCTTTGACCTTTTACATATCGCCAGAAGGCTTTACGATTCTTTTGCATTCATCTTCTATGTTGGTTTCATATCTGGATAGACATTCCTTCTGAAAAGCACGGCTACGATCCCGCATGATTTTAAACTCAATCTCACAACAATCAAACTCATTATATGTAATAAAACCTCCAGATAGTGCTAGAAACATCGTTTAAAGTTCTATTACCTATTGGAAAATACGTGATCTCTGTAACTACGTCGAAATTCCTATGCAAGCACATTATTGTACTTCAGTTATCTATATCCTATATTATACCGGCGTATAAATTTATGTCAGCTTTTGATATAAAAGATGACGATAAGAATCATCATGTGTGTACACAGTGTAATCTTAAGTCAATTTAGTCTTGTATATGATGCCGAACTGATGAGTCTCGACACAAACCTACTCGCAAAACATTGCTGATAGTGTCTGATAGTGAAAAAAAAACACATAAATAATTCTGAAGTTCATTATATTAAATTTTGTATGCTAATGTAGGAATGACGTATCAAAAGAAGGATAATGAATTTTGTAAGTGCATTGTCTATCGTGTTGTGTGGGTGCATATTATGGAGGTGGATAATGTTTTATCTGACGTTTCAATTAATTTTTCAAATTTTTTTCATGTATAAGTACATATTTATTAAGTTACGGGATAAATCGATTAGAGGTCTGTGTCATGTGTTACTGAATCAGGATCATCTTTTTATACAAAAAGGAATATCTAATCAAATTTCAGGTTTTTTTATAATACCAAGTGACGAGACAAACAAGACGTTTGGGCCTGGTGGTAAGCGACACGCCTGTCTATAACAGTTGCAGTGCCACTCAGAGCCTTAAATCGCAAAGATCTGAGGTACAGTGCCAAAGCGCTTATCACCCTGAGACATAAGTTGACAAGATCCACATGCCTGTAATTTCACCAGCACCCTTTTACCCTTCAAAACTAGAACGCAGGCAGAAATAGATAAGGTAGCAGTAGTTCCCTGGACGAAATCTTCTACAACTTGGAACAACAAGGAGTTCTACTGCTACTAAACGCTAGTAGTAATTGTGATAATGTGCAAAAACAGAAAATGAAAGACGTATGGTTGTACAATTTTTGTCCACATATTTCGCACCCTTGCTGTAATAAGGTCACATTTATACAATGACTTCTTTTCAAGAGGCTTAATGATTTTGGTACCGAAATTAGTTGAAACGATGATTTTCTTTAGGACTGTTGGACCTCCTGCTCGGTTCCACTAGTGTCCAGACTGGGAGAAATATTGATATGGCCTACATTTATTTCTCTCATGAGTTGGATAATAAGTCGAAAATCTCTGTGTTCATCAGTAAAATATATTTCATATTGAAGTACATACGCCAGCACATCAAGCTACACATTGACGTATCTTGTTCTGTTGCACTAGAGGCGATTTTCGAACAAAAATGTCAATCTTATCCAGAATCTCTGGACTTTAGCGGTACTGAAAATTGAACCTAAAGGTGACTCATTTGTGATGGCGATATGTTTTATTAATCCAGTGCTGGAATCCAGCGCAACAGCTAATTAGTCAACCTTCGCCTAATATTGCCGCTGGGTAGCAAGTAGTAAGCCTGCAATAAAGTAAATTTAGTAATATTGTGTATATTGTATTGCAGACCTCCGCACAGCGTTTGGGCTGTTGGATCGAGACAGTGACGGGCACGTGACGCCAGCGGAACTGCAATTCATGCTCAGGAACCTCGGGATCGTGGTCAGTGACGACCTCATCGCGGATCTCATAAAGGACGCCAGTAAGACTGGTCAGTATGCTCTTGACCCTATATGTCCGTCAATTATTTTGTTACATCACACAAAATATTGCTACTTTTAATGAAGCAATGGCAATTATTGTCACCTAATAAGTCAATAAATTAAATTTATAGCGAGATTAACTCGACAGCGCGTGCCAAAATAAGTGTAGAGCACTAAAAAAAGAACGACGTTGTTACCGTAAACACCAGGAGACTTCATTATATTGGGCGCCGCCGAATTTTCTCAACTAAAATACATTTCGTAGTTACATGCTATCATCAAGAAATAAAACGAAAATAACAAACGCAACTAAAATTAAACATGTTAATCGAGTTCAAGCGGCAAGAAAGCGTTGATTCCATCCCCAATGCAAAGCTTTACAGGCTCAAGGTCACGAAAATTACACTTGGAACTGGTGGTCGATAGTTCAAATACCGAGTCTAACACTGACCTTCAATCTGTTGATATGAGTTAGCGCCTTGGCGGTCTTGGTACGGAAACATTATTTGCGATGTCATTAAATTAAAAATGTCCCAGATGGGGATGACATTGTCGAAAATAGTTTTTAAAATAACCAATGTCTTCAGCCATGTAGTGAACGTTGCCCTTGCTATGTTTAATTGAAGCCTTGCCAAATAAGAACGTGTCGACAATTTTTAACGAGATACTTAAACGATAGCCACATCACACGAGGTTTTAGAAGGCGTAAATATTCTGTTTCTTTAACAATATCTGTGAAAAGAATCGGGATGATTATAATTGGAATTGTTTTTGTTTGGATATTGCCCAATCCGTATTATTCTTGGCAAGATAGTGGTGGAGCAGTGTTTGTGCTTAGATAAAGGAAAGTTAATCAATAATGGATAATTTATTTGCGGTTTAATTCGGTAGGGTTATTGTAAAATGGCGTGTGGCACGGCGGGGCCGTAGGGCGGACGTAGGGCGGCTTCCGGCGACCTCGCACTCTAACAAGGAGGGCGCGTGTAAACTACCTACTGTAGCTTCGAATCAAAGTATGACTCATTAATTTAACATTGAACTGACTTCTAGATGTTATTTGTAAGTAAATGAATGACCTTTTTATGAACCTATCATACATATTATAATGAAGTTAAAAACAAAGCTAAGAGGTTTCAATTATTCGTAAAAGGTACTATTTATTGCTTACTTACGCCATTAGATTCAGATAAATATTTAGCTATATGCAACTTAATCATGATATTAGCTATGAGAATATAAAATAAAATATAAATAGTATTTCAGTTCTTAGTGTGTATTGTATATTTTTCTTTCAATACACTCATACAATAAAAAAACAATGAGTAACAGAAATAGCAAATACGCAATACTAGCGTAATATCAGCTAATCTGGAGATTCAATGTACATTTTGTACATACTTCCTATTGGCTTTATAATCTCAATTGAACTGAACTTGCATTACGAATTGTGCAACAAAAAATAAAAATGTGGTTGGTGCTGTGTTAACCCTAAGGCCACAAATTCGCAACAGTGGTGGTGGTGCGTTCAGCGGACGTCCAAGTTTACACGTACATTGTATCTTGTGTTGGATGTACCCAACACAATATACAGGGTTGCTCGCAATGTATTCGCAAAACTTAACGCCCCGCTGAACACACCAACACCGTTCCAAATTTACGGCCTAACGCTCCACTGGTGGGCACGGATCTTTAAGAACCAATTCGATTTTTTAAATTTAACGCCGTTTATTGGTGGTATAAGCATGTCATATCAATATGACTATAAGAATTGTTTGTATTTGTCGTCATATTTAGTGGGCATTAAAATAAATATAAGATCTGTTTTATGTAAAGTTTATATTATCCGTTTTTTATTGCAAGCCTATAAAAAGGTATTATAATTGTAATTAAAGTAAAAAAAAACGTTGTTTTGAAGTACCTACGCTGTTTACCTACATAAGTCGAGATTTTCAGATTTATTGCAAACTTAACGAGCAACACTCAGTGTTTATCACAACTGTTTATTGTCATTAATCGGAGACCTTACAGCTAATTAAAATTTAAGTCAGGACGTAAAAAGTACAACAGTAGACTTTATCGTTATAGCTATAAACACGCAAGAGTTAAATCGTTTATGTTCTGCTGGGGTTTCGATAACTGATCACTGAAACATCTGAAACATTTTACAAGCAGTTTAAAAGTTACTGTTGACGTTTAAAAAGGGTGCGCCTCACTTATGCGAAAATTAAATAAACTAATTTCAAAACAAATACCGTTCATTTAATATAATTTTTATTTCGACTAATTTCACTTCTTACAATTTAACTTCATATAATTCTTGTTTCATATAACATTCACATTTTATAATTTTGTTTTATATTGGTAATAGCTCATTATATTGGTATTATTTAAATTGAGAATTATATGAAATTATTGTTATATAATATGTATATAACAATAATTTCATATAATTCTCAATTGAAATAATTTTTACGTGGTATAATATCACTATTCATAAATTATAAGTTTAAACCCGACTCGCCATGGTATACTAACCTGTTCGATTCTAGGAGTGTAATTTAAAAGCCTGAGGTGCGGAGGGAGAGTTGTTAATATGGTTTACAATGCTGAATTTTCATTTCGACAAAGTAATTGTTTTTAGACACTGGATTACTTGGTGGTTTAAGTAAAACAAACGTATTTTATATAAGTCAAATCTTGGTTGCGGTTCCCACTCAGTAAGGAGAACTTTTTTCGTTTCCGAACATGTTTCAGACCAAATTATAATTAATATAATATTAGTATTAGGGATATCGTGTTTGGGAAATAATCGAAATGAAATTTAGGTATAATAATGTTAACTGTGCTTTATAACTTATGATAGTTATTAAAAATGAGCCCTAGTGTAAGTGATCGTTATGAAAAATGAAATTATAAAATGAAATTAATTAAAGAAATTTGCATTAAACGTTACTTATACGAAGTGAATTTATAGGAAGTAAATTATGTCAATTGAGTATTATGTGAATAATATTTATGTAATACATTACACACTCGTTTAAAAAATATAAATTACCTTTATGTGAAAAATACAATAAAAGTATTGAAGCAATGTTAGCGGAGCGATGCAATAACGGAGTCAGCAGATGCTCGTACGTGCCGGCATTTCGTATGTGCGGACTTTAATAAAGCGCCACTACAAACCGCACACTCCTCGAATCTTACCTATACGAGTATATTCTGTGGTATCTTATTCCATTATAAACTGTCTCGTGTGGTTACCTTTTGAGAATGCCTGTTGATAATACGAGCGTAATTAATTGTAACCTAATTGCTAAGGTTGACGAGTTGACTTCAGCTTATATTGACATTATAACGTGATATTTCGATCCCGTTTTCACTAAAACTTAATGCGAATGTGATATGATGTGCGGCATTATACCTACAGATAATAAGAATAAGACCGCTAGGGGACTGATGGAAAAGCTTTAAGATTTCACAACAAGACACCGGTCTGTTTGCAACTTTGTTCTTTTTGTTATTTTGGTCATTTTCGCACTTTGGTCATTGGTCCCCAGAACGCAAGTTTGGAATTAGGACCGAGACATGTACCTACACAGTGACAATTTCATTTCGAAATTCATAGTATACGAATAGTTCAACGATATTAAGTACTAGCGAGTCTTTGTTATAGTCGCACTCTCAATATATGTATACACACAAGTCCCTAAAATCTTCTTAAATCTTTATAAAACTTATTAAGCCAAGTAATTTGATAGTCGAGCAGTTTAAATATCTCGGTCATCTGGTCACTAGCGATCTCAAAGACAATGCTGACATAGAGAGGGAGCGAAGGGCTTTATCGGTCCGAGCTAACATGATCGCCCGCAGGTTTGCTCGTAGTCCTGCAGTTAAATTTCAGTTTTCTGTACATCTTTCTAAACGTGCAGCCTGTGGTAGAAGTATTCTCAAAAGTCGTATGGGGCCCTCCGTGTCTAATACAATAATGCGTTTAGGGTGCTGATGGGGCTGCCCGGTATTGTAGCGCTTCGGGCATGTTCGCAGCGGCGCAAATCGATTGCTTCTACACGATCATGCGCAAATGTGCATCGGCACGGGTGAGCAGGCTACGGGCCAGCTCCAACATCATCCTACGCATGATAGTGGACAGGTTCGACTGTCCGTCACTTCACGGCACTGTGCTTGTCACTTGAATGTCATTAGTAACACTTAGATCATAAGTAATTTTGTTACTAACCATCTGTAGATTTTAGTCAATTCAGTTTTTAATTTTCAGTGTTTTTCTTTTTAATTCAGTTTTAATTATCTAAATTTTAAATATATAATATAAGTAATATGATAATAATATAATTTGAAATATGGATTGCAATTATCTGAAATAAAATATTTTTATTTATTTTATTTATAATAATAATAATAAATTTATTTACCGTAACTTACAATTAACAATCACATATTTGAACTGTGATCCCCACACTAGGCTACGCCTGTCTCGTGGGAAGCAAAGCAGGTAAGATTAACCGAAATAACAAAGCGGCTTATAGCAACAAGAATTAAGTTAAAAAGGAGTAAAATACAAAAAATAACAAAAAGAAATGCTTATTTGAAAAACAATAACCATTCACCACGAACATAACTAATTTTAAGTTACTTACATAATTTAACAATAGGTATATATTACACTTTGTGCTGCATGTTTAAGAGAGTATTAGGTGTGTGTGGTGGGGTGTGTGTGCGCTTGTGCGCGTGTGCGAGAGAAGGTAGGACAGTGAAAGCGTGATCTTGTATGTCACGTGTGTTAATTGGATTTTTACGATAACACGCGTAGTATTTCTTCCGTAGTATTTTCTTTTTGCCTCAAAAACACCACAAAATTTAATGTCACATTTATTTGCCAGAATGTTGTAGATACGCGGAAACAGGAAACCACGAAAACGGCGCGCAAACCTAGTACACACATAGGAGTTGGAGGAATTTTGAAGAGTCTCTTCTTCAACAAATCTGAGTTTAAAGGCATATTTAGAACTTTTTGGTGTTTATAAACGGTAGGTCGCATCGTCGTTGCTTGCGCAGCGACACCTTTAAAACAGCTCTCTGAGCTCTTTTTAAAACCAAAAGAGATGTTCTAGCAGTTCCTCCCCAGGCGAAAATAAAGTACTTTAAAATTGATTGGCATAAAGCGAGATATATAGTTTTCAATAGTTTGCCATTTGTAGCCTCTCTTAGCAATTTCATAGTGTAAATAAGCTTCCGTACCCTACCGGCTGTCATCGTTATGTGTATTTTGAAACTAAGATTTTCGTCCAATATGACACCTAAGTACCTTACAGAATCGGCCCTTTGTATAATATCGCAACTACAGTCAGCGTCTGAGACCCCACAGCTTTCGATATGTACTTTTAAATGTCATTTTAGATGGCGGGCTAGAGATGCAAGTTTTGTGAAAATTTAAAAAACGTGTTTTTTCTGCATTTAGCGTGAGAAGATTATTATTTAACCATGCGGTAATCTTACGCATACCTGCCATCGCTATAGCATTGACGCTATTCCACGACTGACCGTGAAAAATAAGGGCCGTATCATCAGCGTAACACAAAATTTCACAACTAGGGATTTGAAGGATTTTGTCCCTTCAAATCCCTAGTTGTGAAATTTTGTGTTCGTTGATGTACGCTATGAAAAGCGCGAGACCTAGTATGCTACCCTGCGGGACCCCGAAGAAGATACATTTTTGGCTGCTCAGCAAACCGTTAACCTTGACACATTGGCTTCTATTGGTCAGGTAACTGGGAAACCAGTGTAAGGCCGTTCCACGTATACCACAACATTCTAAATTGCGAATTAAGATAGGAATCGACACCGAATCAAACGCTTTGGCTAGATCTAGGAAGACGCCAATACAGCTCCGACCCCCATCCAGGTGAGAGATCACTATTTCTGTTAAAAGTATTACGGCACCCTCAGTAGACTTCCCTTGACGAAAGGCGAATTGGCGAGAAGAGAGTATATTAGTCTTTTCTAAAAATTTGACTAGTCGCTTGTTGACAATTCCTTGCAATAGCTTGGAGTATGCACCGAGAAGAGATATAGGACACTAGTTGCTAGGAATATCGTTGGGTCCATTTTTATGTATCGGGATCACTGTAGCAGTTTTCCAGCTTTGCGGAAAGTGGCCTGTAGACATGCTAAGGTTAAAGATTGCAGCTAGAGGTTTCGCTATGATGCTGACGATGGCTTTTAAGAGTCTGTTGTTAATACCATCCATTCCAGGGGCTCTTTTTGCGTCAAGAGATTTAATAACACCATAGACCTCATCCTCATCAGTAGGTTCTATAAAAAAAGATGTAGTATTAAATGTGACCGATATTGATCTTTGCAGCTAGATTCCTGAGTTTCGTTAAGTATAGTCAATATGAGACTTGCAAGACTGTGGCCCGCAGAAGAGAAATAGAAGTTACAATAGTCGAGAGATTCCTCAATGGACGATTTACTTTTAGTTACAGCGTCAGCCACTGAGACTGTGGTATTTTTATGTGTAATTCGACTTATTGTGCCCCAAAGCTTTTTGGGTGCATGTTTGTTTTGTGTTAATTCTCGGTTATCATGTTCAGATTTCATGTTCCTCAAAAGATTGATATAAAAATTTCGGTAATGAGTGTAGATAAGTTTCTTTATTGAATTGTTTGGATCTTTACGATGCTCCAGGTGTAATTTATCTTTATGTTTAGAACATCTAATCAGTCCACGGGTCATCCACGAGTTCAAAGCAAAATTAGTACGGCTAATCTTTGTTATTTTCGAGTGTTTTGATACATAATTAGTGATCATGGAAGAGAAAGAAGCAACGGCATTTTCAACATTTTCATTATTTATGACGGGAGACCAGTCACAAACACAACAATAGATTAACAATAGATTCCCGTCTTTTTTTGAAGTGTTTTTTTTTGTAAGATTGTTGTTCGAATTAAAAGTGAATTTTGAAACGAAATTGTACATAGCATAATGAACTTTCTATCAATCGTGTAAAGCCTGCAGTACATGTTGGTCGAACGTAGGCGAAAGCGAGCGCGAGCGTAGGCAAATTGGTACACGGCTAGTGCTACCGTCTACACATTCGACAAATTGGAAGAAGAGCGATACAAATGGTGAATGTAGATGAGTTTTGCTTGTCAGTTTTCATTGTGCATTGAAACTAAGTATATGGACGATGTAGAAGTGGAACTTACAGCTTACATTAACATTTTGAAACTTTGGATTTAAATCGCGTATATTTATTTTTTTAACAAACAAAACGTTTCGGGCCCTTTCCATGTCCCATAGTCAAGGCTGACTGAGATGGTAAAGTCATCAACCAGTTATGTCTAATATTAATGCAAAAAGCCTATGTTTCACTATAACTATAAAAGTTATTAATTTAGTTATCTATCTCTTTATCTATCTATTTTTCACAAACATGTACACTATTGGTAGAGCGCAGGCGAGCGCCTTTCATTTGTGCAGAAAAACCGACACCGTTCCGAAGTGCGATGAATGGTCTGACTATGACGTATGACTGCGAGTTGTGCCAAGCCCCGCCAAATACACGTTGGCGCTCGCTTTTGCCTAGGCGAGCGACCGAGGGACGGCAAGGCAAGGCAAATAGGCTATCTATATGTTGGTATTGGCATTCACTCGGCAAACCCGGGCCAACATGTATTGGCTGGCTTAACGTACAAACTAGATGCGATACGGTAACTGCGCGAATTCCCGCGACTCCGCGAGAATTCTCCGGAACACCGCGACCCGTTTTTTGGCTCTCCATTACACGACCTGTAGATGAAATATTGCATATATTTGCTATAGTATATTTTATCTGAATGTTATCTTAAGATTTTGTTTTGATGTAAAAATATTCTTAATACATATTTTTCATAGTGTTGCAATATACTGCAATGAGGCGATTTAAATTTTAGGTTTTCTAAGGGATTTAAGAAAAACTAGTAATAGAGTTTCTACCCGTAAAAGCCATTATATCTAGTTATAGATAATTATAAGATTCAGTCTAAATAAATTGGCATAGAGCTAGAGCTTAATAGATTGAGTGTGCTGCTTGGGCTAGTTTGTACGTTACATATTACATAATTAACATAAAGTTTAGCTATGGTTATAAAGCAATGTAGAATGAGCATAGGGGTTGGTTTATGTCTAACGTTATGACGTGACGAAAACCATATTTTTGAAATTTCTCTACCGAAACTTTTTTCTATCGCTCGGGAATCAGCCAACCCTTTTGTAGATTGTCATATTTCATTTTGTTCCTCATTCATTACTTAGCTTCATTACACACTTGGGTGTAGCTTTATAGTGTTATTAGTCTAGAGTCCACAATCGTTTGTTGCGTTGTACACAAACGTTCTTATATAAGCATCTGTGCTACATTTTCAGCGCGCTTAAATGGATTAGATTATAAGGTTGTTTTGTCCGCATTGACGATTAATCCTAGCTATCTTTCAACTGCACTCGGCGGGCGCGCACACATATAAGCCGTGCTGCTACATTTGTATGGAGTTACTATACTTGTCTTATTGTACTATGCTGATATTAATCTGTTTGAATTTCTATTTAATTTTAAGAGATTATTTATGAAAGAAACCAGTCAAAGATCTTTGTGAACTTTGCACATTTTCCCGTGACAATTATCTATTATATTCGTAAACTACAAGGAAACTTATAGAATATTTCTTTTCCAGGCAATGGATTAATAGATGAGAATGATTTCATGCAATGGGTGACAAAAATACAAGCCATACAAGGCTTAGATGTGAGTGCGAGCGGGGGCGACTCTGAGGAGGAAATAACGAGAGACCTGCTCGCGGCATTCAAGTAAGCACCTAATTAAATTAAAATATGTGCGTAGTAAACCTTCATCTCACCTGATGAAAACTGACAATGAGGTCGACGATGGAACATGCAAGCCTATATAATGCCTATTCACTCTCGCCTTGAAAAGGCCAAGTTATAGCATTCAGGCAACAAATTCAATATTCTGAAAATAAACAAAACACAAGTAGAGATAGACATTCCTTTCTTCCGCAAAAAACTATTTATTATTTACCGTACGTAAAAAGGTAAAGAATATTTTATTACAAATTTTCAATCTAACCTTGCATTCTTTTGCGACCTCTATTGAGATATATAGCGGCATGTAAGAACAAATTAAGCATATCACACAGTATTAAGACCTATTGTTCGAGAATAAAGTATAAATATAGTCATCACAAGAAGGCTATTGATAACGTGACGCAGACGTTCATTGCATAAAAGCAATGGATGAGTTTGCTAAGGTTCGCTGAGTTATGCAATAGAATTATTGTGTAAAGTTGTGAAGGCTTTGTGTGATTTAAGTAATATTTTTCAAATAAGAGAAATGCTCAATACCAATTCAATATAACACAAAAATCTAACACAAAGAAAAATTCCATCGATCCGGCTGGACCAAAAGAATTTATCTCAGCGGTATGGCGAGGTCGCTGGTGTCACGTCCAGCCATCGGAAGGAATTTTTCTTTTTGTTCGATCTTTATATTAATAATTATAACGAACTAGTGGAGTAATTTCACAAAAATAATTGAATATTATGGTAGTAAAACATCGTGATATTTAACAAACTTAATAATAAAAAAAAAGATTAAGATAGATATTGTAAACCGTCCATAGGGGTAACAGAATAACTGACGCCACGACGTAGTGTTCTGAGTATAAATAAATATAATACAAACACATCTAAGGCTGTATTCAGTAGCTCATACATGCAAGAAATTATTGAATACTCTTGTATGTGAATGTGAGTGCCGCTGCCGCACGACCGAATACTTGCTTACATTCATGCGTGCGAGTGGCTCAGGTGCAAATATGATCTAATACAACGTTTGTTGCGTTCACAGAGTATTTGATCGCGATGACAACGGGTACATAACGCGGGATGAGCTGCGTTCCGCATTAGAGATGATCGGCGAACCGGTGACAGACGCACAGCTAAACCAAGTGCTTGCCCTTGGCGACATCGATCACGACGGACGCATTGATTATGAAGGTAAAGAAATTCACATACGTCGCAATCCACTCGACAATTTCAACGTAACGGACACAGCTTATTTTTAAATACTGGACTCAGAAAAATGATATTTACGATTTATGTACTACCTAATTTGTAATTAAACTTTCCTTTTTCTCAGAATTCGTGAAGATGTTGCTGTAAACATATTGTGTACCGTCGAGAGCAAACCTCACTAGATGTAGGTAATAATAGAATAAAGACAAGTGGTCGACGCAGAAAGGGAGCCTCGAACAAAGCTGTAGGACACAGTCTATGTGTAAAAATGCTGAGACACGGCTGGAGTGAAAGGATGAAAATCTTCTTAAAAATATAAGGCCGTCACTACATGTGAGCTGATCGTGCGAATGATTGTCTCGCGCTTATGTAAGTGTTATTAAAGTATGCCATTAATTGAACCTAGACCCGAGTGCCGCATGACGTGTGTGAGCGGGAAATGATATCGCTCAGTCATGTGAGCGGATTACAAGTAAATGATTTCTAGGTAAGGCTGCACACACATCAAATCGATACAGAATACTGTTTCAACAACCATCCATGTTTACATGACTCCCACTAAGTTGTAGATTTTGTGTTGCTGTAGACGTCACTTCGCTGGTGATGTGTCTGGACCCTAAGCCTTTTTGTATTGAAGGTAGAGATTAAGTATTTGTACATAGAATTAATTTTGTATGTATATTACAATAACTTTATTACTTACGTAGTGCAACTAATTTAGAGTTTACGAAAATCGTAATTTTTATTCACCTTTTCTATGTCGACGATTCCGCGGTATTTGTGTACTCGATTGCCTCACAGTATTTTTATTAAAATTGTATTTTACTAGTCATGATATCGACATTTGTCCATCCAGTTAAAAATGCTTTTTTAATACTTAACATACGTATTAATTATATAAAATATTTGTTCTAAGTAGAGATTTTATTTAGATAAGTATATGTGGAGATTGTTGGAAATAAGTGTACGTACTTTTATTATAGATATCTATTTTCTAAGATCAAGAAGAATTGTCCTAAAAGATAAAGTATTATAATTTACGTATCATTTAGAATTCTTTTTATAATAATGTTGTAACTGGTGGCAGCTGAAATAAAAGCAACGATGTTTTCAAATAATTTTTAACTAGTATTATTTAAAAAATCGGTATGATATAAATTGAAATTATTCTATTGCTAATTTATGTAATGTATGTTACGTTAAAGTCGGCTAAATTTGATAACCTCGAACTCCGTTTTTGCATGATATCTTTTTCTTAGTTTTCAAGCGCAAAGCTGAAAATGTAATTTGTAGACCCTTTTTTGATTAAAAAATAAGGGTAGGTATAATCATAGATTGTTATATAATTATTTCCAGTAATTCTGTTTTTGTACCTATTCAAAAATGGACGTTACGAGATTTACGGATTTATCCGATTATGAAAATTTTGGCTATCACCAGTTTCAATACCGTTAAAGTACATCAGGAAACAATTATAGGTAACAAGTTGAATTGACACCGAAACTTGAGGAGTATAAAATTATGGAAGTGATACAATACCAAAATTACTTATTAATTAAAAATATTAATTAAAATGTACAAATGAAATGTACTAATTCTAGGACGAATTTTGTTGTTTTGATGTTAGAGCGAATGCGATGCCCTATACAACAACTTCACGCTCATTGATATCTTTATTATACATAAATAATTTGTATATATACTTACTACAATTCAGGTAGTGTTCTCCTATGTTGTACTTCAATTGAAATGTACTTAGATCGTTGATTTTGTTTTCTGTTAATTCATACAGTTGTTTGAACGTCTCATAAAGAGTAATTTTATGGTTGTGAAGTATAATTTATATAGAAATATTGTATTCTATTTTCCAAATATTATTTTTATTGAGAGTTTTTAATATTACAGAGTTTATGCAAGTGTGAACTATTAAGTATTACCTAAATAACTATTATTAAATAACATAACGGCCTCCGTGGTCGAGTGGCTTGCACACCATGGTGTCACCATCTCTGAGGTCCCGGGTTTGATTCCCTGCCGGGTCAGTGTAGAAACAATCTTTTCTATATTGTCTCAGGTCAGGGTGTTTGTGGTACCGTCGTTAGCTACTTTACATTGGGATCAGAGCAACATATGTGATGTTGTCTACTATTAACAATATTATTATTAATAACTGTTTCTATGTAAATATGTGTTTGACTTTGATTGTATCAAGAGCACATCAATCTTGACACTTTCCTGTCGCATGTGCCATGCAACTCGAATTTAAATCTTTACACACGGCGATTTTTAGCAACGCGTCTAGGTACAGAAATTCAGTCGCGATGCAGTCTCTAATTTTGCTTAATCTAGCTTTACGTACACGCATGACTAAGCAGCGACAATCGCGATATACGTTTTAATGATTCAACAAGCGACAGCATCGATTCAGTCGCGCGTTTGCATCGATTCAATCTTCTATATATCGCTACTGTCGCGTTTCACAAACGCGCCTTTGTATCGCTGCTAAAAGTCCCTGTGTGTAACCGCTCGTACATAAATAAACTGGTATATCGTTTAGAAAGTAGTCAATAGTTCACACTAGCAGTATTTTTCACGCATGTTAGTTTCTAAACGAGCCTTCCAAAGGCAGATGATGTGAGATGAATGTGATCAATAAATATTAAATTTGTTATTTATTTTATTTGCAATTTTACATCTAGTTTCCCCTTCGGTCCCGTACACGCTATAGGTTAACATGAAAAGTTAAATAATTTTTAAAATCAAAACTTAATATTACAATAAAATTATTAAAGCGACATCTCTTGTTAGCCGCTGGTAGCTGTAAACGCGAAGAAAAAACTTTCATAGACTTCACAGACGGCGCTATGCCAAAAATTCGTTACAAACTATAAGATGTGTTTTCAATATTCTCTTTTATGGATAATGCCCACTTATCTTTTCTTTATCAGAATATTAGAGGTGTAAAATCAAAAGTAATTGAGATATATAATAGTATTCTTTGTAACAATTACGATGTAATTTGTTTGTGTGAGACCTGGCTGGATGATACTGTCTATTCTAGTGAGTTGGTAGATGATAGGTATATAGTATACCGTAAGGATAGATCAAAGGGATTTAAGGAAAAGTACAGTAAAGCTCACGGTGGAGGAGTACTTATAGCTGTGAAGAAAACAATAAAATCTATGCATTTGCCTGAATGTGAGACTTCTAATGAAGACATATGGGTGCGAATATATTTAAAATATTCATATATCAATATCTGCGTCGTTTACCTCCCGTCATATATATTGAAACCAGAGTTTTCGAATTTTTTGGACGTTAGTGAGGACAATATTACGAATGCAGGAAATAACGATACTTTAATAATAGGAGACTTTAATTTACCAGAGATTGATTGGAGTAGTAATGTCTTTGTTTCGACAAATAATCAAAAAGTTGCGGATTTACACGATTTCGTTACAAGGGCAAATCTTATACAAAGCAATCAGGTAAAAAATTATAATGACAAAATTTTAGATCTGCTATTAAGTACGTCACGGCTGTCTTGTCATGTTAGTGAGGCGCTAGCATTGAGCCGTCTCGATAAACATCATCCTGCCCTCGATATTGATATTGCGTTGACTACCGAATCTATACTCAAGGAAAGAGCTGTGGGTAGACTAAATTATCGTAAAACTAATTTTGAGGCTTGCATTGCCGAACTTGCGGCTTGAGGCTTGTATAAATTGGAAACAATACAAGGACATTTTCTATAATCACCTCAATTTAATAATAGAAAAAAAAACTCCTAAAACTAAAGTTAATAGGTCTAAATATCCGTCATGGTTTACTAATAAACTTATAAATATACTTAAGGAAAAAGATAGATATCATAGAAAATTTAAAAAGTTTGGTAATCCCAGAGATGAGGATACATTCACACTTCTACGGAAGAGAGCTAAGGCAACCATGGATGGATGTTTTGCCTTATACATAAATAATATCGAAAAAAATATTAAAACCGATATAAAGGCATTTTGGAGATACACTAAATCCAAGAAAACTACAAATGATATCCCCAAGGTGATGAGTCTCGGAAATGAGTGTGCTGATGAAGGTGGAGATATTGCGAATTTGTTTGTTTGCTTCGCCAAGGTCTTTGAGGGCTTGCTATATTCGCGTATTTACTTTCACATGAAACAAGTGATCAGTCCTAAGCAGCATGGTTTCGTGAAAAACCGTTCAACGTCCTCAAACTTGCTTACCTATACTCATTACGTGGGAATGGCACTGAACAAGGGTTTACAGGTGGATACCATATACACAGACTTCGCAAAAGCTTTTGACAGAGTGGACCATAAAATACTCTGTCATAAGATGAATCGCCTTGGAATACATGGTAATCTATTGCGTTGGTTAGAGTCGTATTTAAGGAATAGAACTCAGCTGGAGACAATATACGGATACAGTTCGATTCCCTTTCAATCTTTATCTGGTGTTCCGCAGGGTTCTAACCTGGGCCCTTTACTTTCATATTGTTCGTGAATGATCTGTTGAGGTTGATCAGCAGTGAGTGCCTCGCATATGCTGACGATATAAAGATATTTAATAAAATCGAAGATAATACAAACTGCTTAACATTGCAAAGGGATATTGAGGTGCTCTCAGATTGGTGTCTAAAAAATAATATGGCGCTGAATGTTAACAAGTGTCATGTATTAACATTTTCACGAAAAAAGAATTTGACAAAGTATACCTATAATATAGATAAAGTAGAATTAAAGCGCGAGACAGTAGTTCGAGATCTGGGAGTATTCATTGATTCCAATCTTTCATTTAGACAGCATTACGACTATATAGTGTCAAAATGTAATAAAGCAATGGGATTTTTAATGAGATCTGTGCGCCCATTCAAAGATCCGGGCAGTGTAATTATATTATTTAATGCACTCATTCGCAGTATACTGGAGTATGGTTCGGTAGTGTGGTCACCGTACTATGATCAACATAAAAATAAGATCGAGTCGGTCCAAAAGCGATTTTTGAGACATTTAAGCTGTAAATTGGGTTTAAGGCGTAAGCTTCCGTCCTATGAAGATAGATTGAGACATTTTAAAATGGACACCCTACAAAGTAGACGGTTTTCGCATAGCTTTGCCATATTGTACAAAATAGTTAATTCGGAGTGGGATACTAGTGAATTGCTTGAGGAAGTTAGGCTTATGATTGGAAAGTGCCGCACTCAAAAACTTTTTTATGTACCCTTAACAACATACAATGTGTCTTACAATGATCCTTTGCTTCGTATGTGTAGGAACTACAATATGGTTAGCACTGAGGTAGACATATTCCACCAGTCGATGGAATCGTTTATAGTGTCTCTGAGGTCTCACAGCTAGGTCAAAAATAAAGTGTTGTAAATAAGATTTATTGGTTTTGTTTAGATATGTTTTTCTCTTCAAATATGATTTTTTCAAATTTCCATTTATAAAATATATATAGGATAGTTATAAATTGTTTGTTTAATTATTGTAATTATATTTTTCTTTTTAATGATTATATTTTTTTGTTTTTAATAGTTTTTAAATGTTTAACAAACTAAAGTCAATTAAGTGTTGTGCACAATTGTTATTGGTTCCAAGCTAACAAGTGTTCTATATTTAAATTTGTATCAAGTTTCTTACATGGTTTGTGAACTGTTATTGTGTCTGAAATAAATAAATAAATAAACTAAAAACAAGCACTTTGGAAACATTCGTAAGTAATCTAGCTCAGACACGGTATGCTGAAGGAGCTAGTTCGAACCCAGATCGAAGGATTTTTTCTCTATCTCTCTCAATCTTTATATTAATAAAATCATTTCAATTCTCAATAGTTTATAAAGGGAAATTACAGAATACAGAAACAGAATTACTGGCCGTATAATATTCAGTTGAATAAACTGAACAGAACTTAATGATTTTATTACGGGTAATAGGAACCACTCAATCGAATAAAAAAACAACCACCCGTACATTTTGCTCGTGTTTCCTTATAGTTATTACATTTTTCGAATACAATATAAATCGGAAATAATTTCAGAGGTTGCTTATTGGTGCCGGTGGACTTGACCATTGTCGTATTTAGTCATTGCCTTCTAAAAATTTTCCGATGAAAGAAATTGGTTTTGGTTCTTGGGAGGGATGCCAGTGAGCCATGACATGACCTTTCTGTTGCCAAGTTTGGTCCACTTCTGTATATTCTATCCAACCCTGGTGAAATAAAATGCAGGTTACAATATTTTAGATAGTAAAGTATGACAATTTTAGGTTTTCGCGATTGGAAATGAAACTATTTTTCGCGTATATTTGTATCACATTACAGGACCCTTGGTCACGGTTGATTTCGACCCGAAAGTAAAGTGGCAGTACTTCCCTGGACGAACTCTTTCACAGGGAGCTCTATCGCTACGACAAATATTTTGAATAAGTTTATTTTTAATGTACATTTCCGGAGCTTTTATTACTAAGCACCTAAAAAGAAAGTACCGTGTTGTTCATATATCTTACTAAATGGTTTGATTTTCCTGTATTCTTTGAACAGAAGTAATTTTAATTATGTATGCAATCCCACGCAGGCCAAGTCAGAGCTAATAGCGTAATGGATAGTTAGCCACTCTCACTGAAGTCGAAAAGCTCCCCCAATGGCTGGTTCTCCCAGAGGCCGAACGCTGAAACCTTCTGGGCAGTAGGTACATGACGAGATCCTGTTTCAATACTCAATATATTTATTGCATTCATATGGTATACATGTCTTAAATTTAAGGTAATGCTACACATATGAGCCCTTTATTAGGGATAACAATAACAGTAGAGGTAGGCCGAGGTTTCAATTATTAATCAAAATTGTTATTTATCAAATAATATTTTTAATAAAGAAATACGTCGTATTATGAGTAGAATTATGTCACTTGAAAGTTTGAATTTAATTAGATTATAATTATAGATATATAATTATATACTATAAAGTTTGATTTTAAGTTGTAACTAATATGGGAAAGGATATTTTTCTAAAAGGATCCGCAATTAAGTTCTAGGGGAGAGCGCCGGGATTATTATTAGGTTACTCTAGTACTCATAATACCTACAGGGAATTTTCTAATTTGACACCCAGGTTGCTGGTGGCGGTCGAACATATCTACAATTTATTATAATTGATGCAAAGTTACCTTTAATATAAGCAAATCGATCACCCGAACATCTTCAACATGCGAGTTGGCGTAAAAGTAGGATCGTATCATTGTTTTGATATCTTTTTCAGATTTTGGCATATAATAATACTCCTCTACAAACAAAGAAATCACATACAAGTACATAAAGCTTGACACTGGATTTTGTATCGTTCTTATCGCAAGCGACTTGCAATATGATGAAATTACAGGCACATGAGACTTGTCCACTTGTCTCGGGGTGACGGGCGCGCAGTGGTAATGCCCCTCAGATCTTTTTGATTGAGTGGCACTGCAACTGTTATGGACCGGCGTGTAGCTTACCATCAGGCGCACGACTTGTTCGTCCTGTCACTTAAATAAATAAATAAAGGGTTTTTCAACAAGAACTTTGTTTTGTAAATCAAAATAAAACAAAACATTTAGATGACAATGACTCAAATTTTTATTGTATAAAAAAAAGTAAGGTTTGGCAATTAAGAATGAAAAGTGATATCTGATAAATGTCCACCACGACCACTGTTACAGATGTCGATTCTTTCATTAAAGGTTTTAATAACTTTTTGACAAAATGATGGGTCTATTTCGTTAATCACTTCACGAATTTTGAGTTTTAAGGCTGCAATCGATTCGATTGGTTTCGTATAGACTCTGTCTTTAACATAACCCCATAAAAAATAATCTAGCGGTGTTAAATCACATGGTCGAGCTGGCCACTTAACGTCTGAATTTCGTGAAATATTGCGATCGGGAAATTTGGTTTTCGGTTCGGTGGCTGTGACTTGTGGTACCGTCTTGTTGAAACTACATGTTAGTGATATCAATAATAGGCCAAAATTGAGTTGTTAACATCTCTCGATAGCGTAATCCATTGACCGTAACCGTATTTCCACCCGAATTGTCGAAAAAAAAAAACAGCCCAATGCCAACGGCACAAGTTCTAAACTTTACTAAAAAAAGCCTGAAAATCGTTATTTCACAGTCAATCCGGAGGCTGTTGTATTTCTGAGGCCTAAATAATGAATATAACATAGTTTGGACAGTTTACTTGCGTATTTGCCTATTCAAAAGGGGTCACCCTTTGCTGTGCGTCGAGAAACCGACCAGCGCGCGGTAACGAGTTTTGCTGTATTTGTCGAATAGGCAAAGGGAATACTTTGCCACACATGCTATCTACGCATTATATCTATGAAAATACCCCTTTAGCTCAAAGCCTTTAATCTATGTACATAAATATCGTTAGTTTAGCTGTATCAGTTGCTTTACGTATAATATTTTTAATTAAGTACTGTAAATGATAAATAAATAAATATTCATTTACAAAGAACCATGGGTTACCTTGATAATTTCAAAATCATAATTTGCTTACAAAAATATTTTGAATTTAAATTTAATTTGCTTACAAAAATATTTTGAATTTAAATTTAATAAGTACTCACGGATAAAGGGAATAATGCGATAAAAAGCACGGTAAAGGCCTAAGACCCTTGTGTGGGCCTCACAGTTATCGAAGGACATAACCGGACGAACAATTTTGCAGCCCGCCATAGTGCCTCGAGCCGCCATTTTTGAGTCTATATTACTGTATCTTTACACTTTTGATGAAATTATATTTCTAATAGTTTCCTTCTATTTAAGTTGTTCACTGTAGAGACGCAAAGAGAAAAACATTACTGGTACTGTTTGTCAAAGCCATGACAGCTGTTTTCACAGCTATATAGACAAATGAATACCATTGTATTTCTCACGTGTCAAGTATGTATGACAAGAGCAAATGCAAAAAGGATATAATAAATATATTTGGTAACTTGCAACTAGACTCATGTCTCAGGTGACGGGCACAGCGACAGTGAATATATATATTTTATAATAGCCCGTGACGGGACGAACGAGTCGTCACCATATCCATAGAAACGTAGCAGAGCGTAGCCTAGTATGTGTGCGTGCCCGCCACGAGCGGTGTATAGAGGCACACATTTGCATAATCTCGCGTTGTACTTGCGTTTCACAATTACACTGGTCGTCCCAACGCATCTTTCATTATTTTGTGAATATGTGCGTCCGTACACGACAGGGCACATACAAGCCGCGCTGTTACTTCGGACTTACCATACTTCTCTTATTTTACTATTACTTTCAAGTACATCAATCTAGCTGGCTAGTCAAATAAGAAAAGCTATTTAAACTGAATGCTCTATTTCATAACGATTTGACATTTTAACTTAACAGCGAATATACTATTTACAAAATGATCTAAGTTATTCAACTCCACTTAAGAATTTCGAGAGGAAATCTTTAGGTTTTGGCTCTTCTGTTGGTTTGAAGTAAGTCATGATGTGACCCTTTTGCTTCCAGATTCTGACTACCTCTTGCAGTTCCATTTGTCCCTGTGGACAATATCATATGAAATATGTAAGTCACGGCACAGTCAAGTCGCTTTTATGGTGACAGTGATATCATAAAATGGTGATGTTGGTATTCACTTAAGACATAAATGTTTGAAATAACAAATGTGTTAATTAATACTAAACTTTCATTCAATATGAGTCTATTAACATTTATTATTGAAAAACAGCTTAAGCTGAGACTCTATCCTTTTTATCTACACAGTATACGACCAAATTGTTTTGTAAATGTAGATAAATAAAGTTCTTTATTATTATTATTATTAGGGCGCATTTATTCGACACGAATTTCATCGCGGTCACGCCGCGCGGTCGACCGCGGAGACAACGTCGCCGCCGCACAGCGACCGCGTGCTTCTAACTGTCACGGCAAAGTATGTTCTATATATATATTTAGCTTTTACGTTTTAACTTAGGCTTTTAATTGAGGCTGACTTGTCTTTGGTCTACGCGGCGACCGAGCGGCGGCCGCGCGGTTGTATTATTCAGAGGAATTTAAATGTTGTAGCATAGTAAATAGAATTCAGCAGAATTTTAGCAGTACCTTGCTAATGGTTGGTAATGGACACCTGAAGAACCAATGACGTACCAGAATGATCATAAATTTTAAATTATTAGAGCTTCATTTGAGTTATTTGTCATTAAATGTTTATACCGTCATCATCACCATCAACCCATTATTTTACATCCAATTGCCGCGCACGGGTCTCCTCTCCGGCGAGAGTTAAGGCCGTAGGCTGCCACTCTGGCCCAATGTGGGTTGGCGACTTCACACGTTTTCAGTTGTGAACCTTCTTCAGCATACAGGTTTCATTACGACATTTTCCTTCACCAAGAAACTTATGGTAAAGTTCAACCTGAACCTGCATTCGATCCCACAACCTCTGGTTAAGAGGCGGTAGGTCATACCATTAGACTACCACAGCTTTGACCGAATGGATGTTTTAAAAATTTTTAAATTCTATTGCTCACAAGTGGATTTTCATGTCAGTAGATCAAACAAGCACATTACTTGTGTAATAAAACTTGTTATGATTACAATCAATAATTTACCTTAACAACTAACATGTCAATGACTCTAATATCAGCCACATCCTTGTTTTGCATGAACATTTCCTTCAGCTTCTCTTTGCATTGCTTTTCTGATTTGGGGATGTCAAATTCCTCCACTGTAATGTAAACAAATTGAGCATATTTAAAAGGTTAGTTATTTTATCATTTGTATATTTGCTTAAATTTACAGTATGTTAAGGTTTCAATGAATATAATTTATTGCAGACAATATACAGTCCATTTTGTTAGTACACTTACAAGTTATCTATTCTACTGTTAGTACAAAATAAAAATAAAATAAATGAATGAAATGAACTGAAATGATTACATAATGAAATGATTACATTATACGTGAAACTTGCTAAGTTCATGAGCTCCCATGACGCGAAGATCGGTGAACCTAGCAAGCAGATCGGAGTCCCACCTATCCTCTATCGTTTTATGAACTCTGTTTGAGCTCTCTCATGCTCTGCGCAGGCAGGATTCCACCTTTTTACGCATTAGTGCGTAAAAATCCTCTACACTAGCATCGGCAAACATGCCTGATGCACTGCAGTAGTGAGGAAGCCCAAACAGAGCTGTGAACACATTATATGTATTATTATAATATATGACAACAATAAAGAATAAAACAAATGTTTTGAGACATGATCTAGTGTAAATTATCTGCCTTCCTTTTCATAACTAAAGCAATCGGCATTTTTAGAGAAATTGAGTTATTAACATATCGGGGATCAGCGAAATGTACACAATAAACCCCATTTATTAAGTTTTTCTATATCTTATTTAGTTTCAATTTTCAAACATCTTTAGAATATCATCAGTTTGTGAGAGACCAAAGTGGGCAGCACGAGGACCCCCTAACACCTGGAGGTCTACTCTTGTTCTCCATCGTACAACAATTGCTGTCAAATAAGTAATATTTGACCAAATTAAAAAATTAAAAAACAATGTCAAGTACGAAGCTTCATACTATTAATTGGGTCGAGCATTACTTATTTGACAGTAATTCTTTCAGATGAATGTTGGCCGGAGAACAGGAGCATTGGGCCTGGGCAGATGCATAAAGATCGGCGACCAACGTCTACATGCTAACTGCGTTAGTTATGACAAGAAGGGTAGTATTGTCAATTAATTTATGTTATTATACTTTTAACTTTTTTAAATCGCTTCACGCTACTTTAAGAAGATTGGCACCATCAACTCGATAATGAATTTGATTTTTTCTTTCAAATCTTAACCAGGCGATAACCAAAAATAAGTAGCATTAGTTTGATTACCGAAGTCTTGACAGCTGACATCAAATAAAATATTAAAATCATCTTTGTCTAAATGACTGAACTCTTATTAAATTTCTAAAAATCGGTCTGTTTTTGATTTGAAACAAATGAATATGAATACGAAAGAACAGAATTTAAAAGAAATACTTGATGACATAACAACACTAACCTATGTATGGAATTTGGCGATACCAGGCCTTGTACAGATTCATGACTCTCCTTCTTGCTTCTACAGGATTTGTAGAAAGCAGTGGTTTAACAACCTTGGAACCAACATGAATTGCTTTTCGCGATGCCATCGTTTTACATAAATTAACTTCGTTCTAATTTGCTGAAATATTTTGAATTTGAGTAATTTGACACACTTGACGTGATTGACACTACGGACCACTAATTGACATTGACATTTTCTTTTTTCAATACAATTTCAAGCTACCTAAGTCAAAAATACCAACGATTATTCTGCCACATACTAAATGTCACGTAAAGAACTTCCTCCCTATGATTTTATATGTATAACCAGTCGTAGCCTGTATGGCACAGCACCGACAGGACCGAGCTTTCTGCTGCGCCGGTCATACCGACGACGGTGCAGTACCTGTCGTGACTGCATTACTCCACGGAGTCTGAGATAGTAGAATGCATCAGATTAAAACCTAAATACAACCTGAAGGTTGAATGGTTGCGAGGCCCGTTTCAGCGTGAATTTTAATTCGTTTGTCGTGACAGTGCCGCCCACAGACTTTGTCTGTGGTGCCGCTCGAACATTTATCGACCTTCGTGAAGGAGGACTTTTAGCCGAAGGGAGTCATATCGGCAATTCCGTAGCCGGTTACCTGACACCATCGTCGACAACACCAATGTAAGATGTACATTTGAGATGGGACAGCAGGGCCAGCTACCTTAATCGTTGTTAGTTTTTTTATGCCATTCAATCCGGTCTGTGGTAAGGATTAATAGTCTGGGGGACCAACTGAGGTAACAGTATACTCGAAACGTCAGAAATCGCAAAAAAACCTTTTACCATACATTTTGAATGGTAAAAGGTAAAATGTTTTATAGGTCTACTGATGATATTCGCGTGATGCTCTACAAGAAAACCCGATCACCCGATCGGTACAACAAATAATTATTTATTGTCGCAATGTGATTGCAACTTTACATACATTTAACTTAAGGGACTCTAATGACCTGCAGAGTTCACAAAGATAACCTGGGGGATTGGGCTAGGGAATCCTGGTGGACTCAACGCACTGTAACCACACACGCCACCGACTAACTCACAAGACTGGGAAAAAATGGCAGGTTTAAATTATTTTTAGTTTAAATTTTAGAGTCTCTTATGTGTTACTTGTTAAAGCTGATGGCTCTATAGCCAATGCTCAACAAATATAAATAAAAATTGTCGTGAGAGAGTGGCGGGTGTACCTTAACGGGTCCGGACAAATTTTTTTTTATACTAAATTTGTCAGCATCCGTTATTGTACAGCCACCATTAACTCTAATTAACTCACTGCATAAGATCACTGTAATGTGCAACTTTACATACATTTAACTAGGTTTCTAATGAACTGCTGAGTTCACAAAGATCCCTAGGGCATTGGGCTATTGGGATTGGGAATCCTGGTGGACTCAATCGAAAATATACGTAGGTATTTCAGTCAACCTATGTGTGTACTAGACTTACTTCATGTAATTTACAGAACTATGAAATAAAGATTAGATTTGAACATTTCGGCAGTCCTTCCCGTTCGTCATATACCTATTATGTTTCAAATTACTCAAATTTACTTTCAATTTCTCAAAAAAATAGGGAAATGTACAATCAATATAATAATACAATAATTCATCAAATAAGAAATCAAAGTAGTTTATTTAATATTTTTATCTTATTATCTAATTAATTAGTTACATTGCCAACTCTTACTACGAACATACAAGTATTGTCAAAAAAAGAAGGTGCACTAACTACCAAACATTTCAACTATCGTATCAATTCCACACAAAACAATTTCACCACGTTAATAATAACAAAAACAAGTTTAATCATTTATAGTATATACAAATGTATAAACTATAAATTGTTAAACTGCCTCTCGGGTGATATGAAAATTCATATCACCCGAGAGGCAGTATAAATAATTTAATCTAATTAACGCATTTAATAGTTTATATGAAACAAAAGAAGAAATTTAGGACCCTTAAAATTAGGGCTCACTACTGCTGGAAAAGATTCCCAGTGACGACAATTTCCTAGACGTTCAATGTTGAAGGGTGCACAGACGTGGAAACCTTTAATATTATTATCATTGGAAAATAAGCGCTTACGTTAACTTCTTATATTAAATGGTAAGTTGTAATATTTTGAAATTCACTTGTTTCGAGCGGGTCCATATTTGAGTGGGCTTATATTCTTTTCTTTTTATTAAAGAACAAAATTGATGGTAATAAGGTCCATTTATATTTATAATCTGGTGCAGCGTGGTCAACAAGAAACTTAAATTATTTCCTACAGAATATTTAGATAGATAGCCATAGATATTAGGTAGGTATTGAGTACGTGCGTTATTTATTTATTACCTAACATTAACTTCCTTGAAACTTAGGCACGTAAACAATTGTGACCGTGACAGTAGCTCAATCGCTTATTGAATTACTCGATTTCAAGGAACTCGAACTTAGTGAGGTGTAATAAGAGTTAAGGAGCCAGGGTCCCCATTTGGGGCGACTTACATATAAGTTAATAAGAGCGGCGTCTCAGTTAGGGGCTACTCTTAACGAAGGGTCCTTGAAATAGGGTAGTGTAATAGCGTTTCAGACCTAGCGAATGACGCCGCCCGCCAATCGGAGTACCAATGGTGCTTGAAAGTCTTAAGATCCTCCAATTGAAACAAACCAATTACAATGATGATTCAAACGCACCAATTGCAATATATGAATCCTATTGAATGAAAATCATGTTAGTGTAGATGCCTAATCATGTTAATTTTCTCAAAATCTTCGAATAAATCGCCGTCAGGTTTACGTCGGTTATAATCTAATTGGACATGTCTTAGCTCTTATATATCTATTAATGTGTTCGTAGTCAAAAGGATCCAACAGGAACAAATCTTTAAGCCTCGTCGGAAAGTACGAAGTGAAACAGTCTCTGGGAAATTAAAAGTTAATTAGTTGGGTACTTTAAATTTCAAAATCGTTACTAAATCAAAATTGAAATTTTAGTTGTGTGAAAAAACTCAATGGTGGTGGCTCATGACAAGGTTCAAAGTCTGTTGAATAGAGAACAAACGATCTCATGATGCTGCATTAGGGCGCTTTCAATTAGATGCTTACAGAAACGCTGCAGTGGTGCCACTGTGGTGCTGCAGCCGCGTCACTACTAATTTTCTTACAATATTTGGGCGCGCGATTGCAGCGCCACAGTCGTGACACGTGCGCGGCACGTTCGCAGTCGCAATTAGTGAACTGAATTGAATTAAAGGTTGATTCACAATGCACAAATTCTGGCAATATATTGCCGAAATTTATCGCGTTGCGCCCAAGCAACGCGATAAATTGCGGCAACATATGGCATACATATAATATATGACTTTGAGTTGACCAATCAGGAGCTACGGCATTTTAACGCGCGACGGTTTGATTGGTCAACTCCAGCTCATATCGCGCAACGCGATAAATTATTGTGTCAATATATTGCCAGAATTTGTGCATTCCGAATCCTCCTTAACTGAAGCGTTACAGGCACGCGTATATACTAACCGAAAAGATTTTCCTCCATAACGGTCGTTTTGCATAGTGGCCCATAATAATTGGGATTGTTCGATTTGTTTTGTTACGTTTCGTGTAACGTATCTTTTGAGCAAAGTATCGAACTGAAACAAAAGATGACCGACGTTAGCGCCACCCTTCAACATTGGTCAACTAAGAAGTTAATACACTGAAAATTCATTGCCGCAAATCTTGTGTTTATATTACGGTAAATCATTATTAAACAGTCTGCGTTTTTCTTCTACCTATACGGTACCTCGGCTCCAGACACAAGCAACGGCTAACCGTCGAACTTAAAAGCTAAACAATTACGAAAAGCATTGATAAAAGAATTATTTAAACACGTCGAATGGGTGTCGAAATGGATTTCAAGATCAGATTGACTTTCCAGTAGGAAAGATAGGCACTGTTCAGGTAAGTAGGGACTTACCCTGGACCACGAAAAGCGTTTTGGCGGCAAACGAGCGTAGGAGTCACCGAGTCACACGTCTTCGTGACCCTTCTTCCCGCTAGGACTCATCACTTTATTTCCTTCACTATAGGTACGCGAATAAAATTAGTGGAGTTGGCCTCCGTATCGGTTTCAAATTCATACGAGGTAGAAGCCGTGGTAGCCTAATGGTTTGACCTACCGCCTCTCAAGCAGAGGCCGTGGGTTCAAATTCGGGGTCGTACCTCTGAGTTCTCGGAATTTATATGCGAAATTTAATTTGAAATTTACCATGAGCTTTTCGGTGAAAGAAAACATCGTGATGAAACCTGCATGTCGAAGAAGGTTCACAACCTTCCGAAAATGTGTGAATGCTACTGGCCAGCGCGGCATGGAACGGCTGGCGAGCTTACGCGCTTTTGGAATATAATTTCTTACAATAGGTAACTGACAAGTTTGTAGCATTTCAACACTAAATCTCGTCGCTGAAAACTAGTAAGAAACATGTGTTCCCACCAGAAAATTAGAACAGCTGCAACGAAGTGGTTAAACAACGTTTATTCTATCCATGTTAATATTCTCACCAATTTCTGCACTACATGCCTATGATTCCAAGTGAAGTTCTGCAATTCTTCTGGCTTGAAACTGATGTAAGTGGCTAATTGTCTGAAATTTTGATGCTGTATTTCGTTCCACTGGCGTTTCGCTTTAGTCAGATTTCTCTCTGTAATAATAATCATCGAAAAGACCAATAAAAATACTTAGAAACATCAATCACCGAGACCGGGCGTGATTGACTTAGCCATAGTGGCGGATTTGCAGTGTTGGCCGCGCCCCTTTCTCAGCACTTATCATATACTGGTAGACTACATAATGAATTACTTTTACTTTAACAATGGTGGTAGTGTTGTACGTGCAAAGCCCGCCCGATTACCACTGCTCCACCAGATTAAAAATCAGCACTGCTGTGTTCAGGATTGTAAGTAGAGAGCGGCGGGGGTAGTATAACGAATATTCAAGGCATCTGCGACGATTTCTCATCAGCCGGACCGCCTGATGGGCCAAGTTAGTGATCGGTCACTGGTGTTGCGAATATCTAACCATAAGGTTGAAAAGTTTTACAAGTGACGAAACGTTTTATATCCGATCGAAACTCATTTTTATTGAAGAATTAATTTTAGTGTAGATTTACAATAGATAACTACAAAACTATAAAACCGTGAGACCGCCCTAGGCCCCAGGCCATGCAGTCAATACCAACCATCCCTTTCTCAGCACTCATCATATACAGGCAGACTACATAATGAATTTTGCCAACTTTTATCGAAATCGATTCAGAAATCACTATTTAACTTTTTTAATAACTTTAATATTTTTCTAAAACATTGATTTGATATATATATCTGTGAGATTACAGGGCGCACGCCAGTCAAGCTGGACGGCATGATTTTTTCCTTCAACTTCAACATTTATCACATTTTAGCCAACTTACACAAAACCTAAATAAACGAAACATTCCTTATGAATCACTCTATCTATTGTTGGAAACCGCATGAAAATCCGTTCAGTAGTTTTTGAGTTTATCGCGATCAGATGGACAGACAGACGCGGTAGTGATAATATGTAGTGATGTAGCGATTATACATTACATTATTATGTAACGTATCTATATTTTATACATGAAATGTACGAAAGCGTTTTAGGAAGATTATTGTTATACGATGCGGTGCAGTGCGGCTCGCCATAATGTGCGTGAGAATTTAGAATATTTAGATACTTTGAGTTATTTCTAGTTATCATCTGTGAATTTTTTGGCACGATTGGATGCCCATAAAATCTTTTCGCCCTAGGCCTGGGCCTACTGGGCCTTAGGGCAAATGCGCCATTGTGGATGTGAGTAACTGACTCACTCTTGGAATGCTCCAAGCGTGGAGCTTGTTATTTTTTAAAGTAATAAATAATCACTAACAAAATGACTCTATTACAGACTTATGTTCAAACTAAGTCGTACTCGCTTTGTAAACTTTTACCGACTCCTGAAGGTATAGCATAATTGGTTTTGAGTTGCACTTTGCATGTTTTATTTATAGCTGGTGGTTATAATATAATTTCTGACATCTGTATTTCGCACGCGGTGAGACATAAAAAGAGACATAAAATAAACAATCAATCTGTGTAATAAGGTTGCACTGCGTAGCTAAAGCTGTTAGCTACTCGATATGAAAAATCTACTCTTATATGAATGGTAAGATTAAGTTCATTAACAAGAAGTTTATACAATACAATACAATACAAAAATTCTTTATGGTACACCTAAAAAGGAAACAAATACAATACAATTAAATTTAAAAAAAATTAGCGGTGGTACGATGGACGGTCGTATCGCTTTAAGCGATTTCTGCCAGAAAACCGTTCATATCATAAGTTTTAGTAGCAGTAGAGCTCCTCGTGAGTGTGTTGTGTGTGCGTGCGAGTGTATGAGTTCGTCTAGGGAAGTACAGCCACATTATCTATTTCTGCCGCCAAGCAGTAATGTGAACATTACTGCGTTCCGGTTTCGAAGGGTAAGGGTGCTGGTGAGATTGCAGGCACATGGGACTTGTTAACTTATGTCTCAGGGTGTCGGGCGCAGTGGCAGTGCCTTTAAGATCTTTGTGATTTAAAGGTCCGAGTGATACTGCAACCGTTAGGGACAGGCGTGACGCTTACCACCAGGCACACAACTTCATCATTCATTTCAATTCATTCATTGTCACTTAGTATCATAAAAAAAGTTCATAATACAGGCGACCAATACACCTTGAAATAAGAAACCTACCACATTGAGTAGCGCGTTTACAAAGGCGAAGATAAAATTATAAAAGATAAAACCTAACTAATTAGGCGCCAAGACAAAAAGAAATTATCGCTAAATAGAAACAAAATGTCGATTTGTCATCATCACGTCCAAATGTTGCCTACATCTATTTTTGTTTAAGTTACTTCGTGATTTAACTGTAACCCACCTAGAATCATCTTATAGTATACCTACCTATTTGCACTGATGGTGGATAGTGTTCTACCCACGATCAGTGCAAATAGGTAAATAATAAATGGTTAATATTAAAAAAAAACCTACTGTGTTGCTCCCCTGTAAGAGGCGGTCTAATTTTCTTGCTTACATATGTTTGTAGATTTTTTAAAAGATTTGCCTGAGGTAGGTGTGGTATTATTAACGGTGTGTCCGCCAGGTCAGCTAAAAGTGCCTGTAATGAAATACGTAATAGTTTCATAGCTTATTTCTATAGTTAACCTATTTCATGGTCTTAATTTTTCATAGAAAACTATTTACCGCAACGAGTTCACTTATTTTTAATGCCTCATTGAGAGCAGGTTTTACCTGAAAAGATGAGAAGATAAACAGGTGAATAGGTAAATTTTTGAAATCTCCATACTTTTGCGTTTTTTTAATCTTCAAATACAAACGGGGTGGGTCTTTATCGCTTTGCATTAGTGCCAGCCAGCCAGGTTTGTTACAAATCGTCTTTAATTGAACTTAACTATCGTTCTTTGAGTAACTTAAGGTTATCTCATATATTTAATTTAATTAAAATATAACCATACTATCAAAGTCTTATAGTACCTATATAAGGATTTCAAGGTATGGAATTGCACATGCCAACAACTCTTAGGGACGTATTCCAGATCTCTACTCAATAGTCAAGTAAGGACTTGAGTATTATTTCAAGCACTAGAAATCATACTGAAGTCGTGACTTGAGCAGTGAGCAGAGTTCTGGAATACGACCCTTAGTCAGACCCTGTACTATCGTTCTCCGTCCAAAAAAATTACTGTCAAATAAGTAATATTCGAAGAAATTAAAAGTAGCGTGATGCGAATGAACTTCATACTTGAGATTATCTTTTAATATGGTCAAGTATTACTTATTTTATTGATAGAGAACGAGAGATGGAGTAGAACCCCTGATTCCAGAAGGATTCAAAACTTTAGTTATATCCGCTTTCGTTTCGCTCTGATCCACGTATACTAAACTCTGGTAAGTATCTTTTCTGATACTTATTACAATTAGAACAGTTCGAGGAGTCCATTATCCACTGCTTGACTTCTCTAAGTCTACAGTGTTTATGCTGAGTCAGGGCCATTACAGCACAAACTAGTCATACGTATGTACACACGCTAGCACATCAAGCTACACATTGACGCATCTTGTTTCGTTGCACTGGAGGCGATTTTCGAACAAAAATGTGTAGTCTGATGTGCCGTTGTCCGTACCTAAGTCAAATTTTATTAGTTCTCACAGTATTTGTTTCTTTTTCCCATAGTGTATGGTTTATACAGCGTTGCCAATGCCAATTGTTCAAAATCCCCAAAAATTACTGTTAAAATCCCCAAATTTGGGGAGAGCAGTTTATATTGCCCACAAATTCCCCATATCTAGAGTTTTCATTATTTATTACAAATACATCGCTTAAAAATATAATAGTAAAAATATAATAAAGAAACCTATTACGTTTGCTGTGAATGTAAACAGGAGTAAAATGTAAAGCAAATTATAAAATTAGATGACCTTAAATCGGTTAATTTGTTTAATGAGATTAATCAAATTTTGAAAAAAAAAAACATTTTCCTTTGCCTTACTAAATTAAGCAACTTAATTATTTATTGCGCATTTGGTGACACTATGGTTAATGTTAGAAAAAAATCAAAGAGTAAATTGAGTTTGAACCTAAATTTAATATTTAAAGTTGACGAATGCGGAGTGGTAAGTTATGGTGTGGAAGTACCAACAGATCGGCTTTGTTTATCAATAGTTGATTTCGTTTTTCTTCATATAGGGGACCGGCTTAAGTGGGAGATAGGATCGCGAACTCAACACGCACCGACTGGTAATTTTACAATTAAGAACCAAGTGCTCTCCAAGTGCTCTCATAATAATTCTATTTAAGCTGCTTGTTAATAATGCGAGGGATGTGCGATGTTGAAAAACACGTCGATATATTTCATCTCAGTTTCTAATAATAACGATTAAACTAGCGTTTTATCTATTGATCAGCAATCGATAGTAGAGCTCGTTGTAAAAGAGTTCGTCCTGGGAAGTACCTGTCACCTTACCTATTTTTGCCGCCAAGCAGTAACGTCATCATTACTGTGTTCCGGTTTGGAAGGGTAAGGATGCTAGTGAAAGTACAGGCACATGGTACTTGTCAACTTATGTCTCAGGGTGTCGGGCACAGTGCCCCTCAGATCTTTGTAATTGAAAGCTTTGAGTGGCACTGGAACTGTTATGGATAGGCGTGCCGCTTACAACCAGGCGCACGACTTGTTCGTCCCGTCACTTAGTATTTAAAAAAAAAACTTATACAGGTATTCAGTGTGAAAGTGATCTGTTAAACTAACAAAAATATTTACACATATACACAGTAAAATTAGTAGTAGTAAAATTTCGGTCCGAGTAAGTACTCAAAATTTCAATACACTGCAAAAATACACTTACCAACATTGTTTTAGAACTCAAAGCATCAAGCACACATTGTTTTACAAAATCTTCCATCGGATCCATTTGATATATTTTCGCTTCGTCAATCCAAAATGGCGAATGTTTTGTAGGTTTGTAAAAGTATGTCTCAAGTAGTTTGCCTTCTTGTTTGAAGTCGTACAAATGATGACATTTACATTTAGATGCTTCTATATACTTCATAGCAGAACTATCCCTAGGGTGGTTAGAAATTATTATTTACAATTTTGTTTCGATATCCTGCTTATCGGGGGGTTTACATGAGTGTTAACATAAAATAGTCTGACTATGCGATGTGACCGTTTTCAAGGCAGCCCACAACTAAAAAGTATATTGGTGATTCCACATACAACATGTGCACGCTTTATTGACATCAGACATGTGTTAGGTATGTGGATGAACATTTTTGTTTGCAAATTTAAAAATTCACTTTATTTATTTTATCCAAAAGGGTATAAACAGTTAATATTACAATATAATAGAAATTAGGTGAACAATAGTAAGTAAACAGTTCCCTGCTGACAGAAATTGAATAAGCAAAAGATGTAAAAACGCAAGTGCAACTTCGTACTTTAAGCAGTCGATACATAGGTCATACACCACTAACCTATTTAAAGACAGGAAATGAAACTATTTTTTTCGTATCTAAATCACATATATTATCTTTTTTTTTTTTTAAACAAAGCAACGTTTCGGGTGTTTTACGTAGCCCATGGTTACGGGGCTGATTCACATTGACAATCACGACCACGCTATTTAAAGATATTAATAAAATAATAATCCTTTAAAAGCAACAGAAAAATCAACAAAAATATATAATAAATATCAGATTACTGTAATCAATATGTATAATTGTGAATTAATTAAATTATGCTCTATGTCTTTAAGTATTTGTAACATGCTGTGTAACCTGCTGAAGTACAAGTACGAAATAAATATTATTTAATATTCCGTATCAATAAGTGTCCTTTATGTGGATCTCATATAATATTGGTCGTAATTCATGGATAATTCTAAGATTCACTATTTCAAGTCGTAAGTAAATTTTAAAATTAAATTTGCATATTTCGTTTGGATTTGATAAACGTTAATAAAACGAACCTAGTAAGGTAGATGTAAAGGTAGCTGTATCTAACTGGGTCACGAAATACTTAAGATTTCTCATAGATGGCGCTACGGCCCAAAAAGTCGTTGAAAAAACCAAATGCAAAGACACGACAACAAACACATAGAAAAATTTGTTAGGTCTACTGGTTCGTTCCGTGACTTAGTTGGTATAGCGTCTGTCACGGTATGCTAGAAGACGTCGGTTCGAATCCGGCCGAATCATGGAATTTTTGTGAGTATCTTTGTATTAATAACTATAACAAACTAGTGAAGTAATTTCACATAAAAAATAATTGAATATCAATTCTATAAAAATTTAAATACAATGAATGGCGACATCTCTAGCCAGCGCTGGTAGCGTAAAGGTATCTAGCTGGGTTACGAAATACATATATTTCTCATAGATGGCGTTACGGCTAAAAAGCCGTTGAAAAAACCATATACAAAGATACGACAACAAACACATAGAAAAATTCGTGAGGTCCGCTGGTTCGTTCCGTGGCTTAGTTGGTATAGCGTCTGGCACGGTTTGCTAGAAGATGTCGGCTCGAATCCGGCCGGATCGAAGGTTTTTTTTCTGAGTGTTCGATCTTTGTATTAGTAATTATAAAAAACTAACCAATTAGCAAGGCAGTTACATGTTACATCACATTTTTTTATCTCCTTATTGGGAAATTTCCAATGTCCCATTATATTGAGTACATGTTCGTCGTTGTATTTCACCAGTCCACCGTTAATGGGTATATAACCAGTAGGCCTCACACAAACAGCTGAAAAAAGTGACAAATGAACAATGCCATTGTAAGTTCTACCAATACACCTAATATACATAAGGCATTTTGCTATGGAGAATATTTTGCTTTGGAAACTTTGTTGTGCAGAAGCGTGCTGTATGGGCAATTGACAAGCTGAGCCCTAAAGTATATCTCACGGAAGAAATAACAATGGAAGCGCCTTAAGCCTCGATTACTATCAGAACCACTGTTGAGAAAACGCACACAAACAAATAATAAATTCTATGAAATCTTGATAATGATTGGTCGTAGTTTATAATTCAAAAAGATGTAGCAAATTGTGGACTGTTATTATAATTTAAATTTTAACCAAGCATTATATCGTAAAGTTCAATACCTTTGCTAACGTGCTGCCATCTTGCGGTCAGTAGCTGTACTACGACGAATGACTAACATCTGAACGAATAGAAAGTAGGATAGATGTCTTCTTTAACGCACACGTTGAATAATGAATTTTATTTCGATCAATTAAGTTTAAAATTTACAAAACATGAAAAATTTTTCTCTCTAAGCTTTTGTGCTCCAAAACGTAAAACTCGACCGATATAGCATTGAGATAATGTTTAATTTCGTTTGTTAAAGTAAAAAAAAAATTTGATAAACAGAAAATGAAAGGTTAAATTCTTGGAGCGGCTATTATTTTTGCACTCCAAAACTGCACAATAACGCATTTTTCTAAGATTTTAGGACCATTTTTATTAGGACCATTTAGAACCATTTCCTAGATGGGTTTATAATGATGATTTTTCTTATCAGAGTACAAAGATTATTTTTAATAAACACCTCGTCTGTGTTCTCGATGTAGCGTAGTGTCTGAGAAAATCATGCCGATGTAACATGTTGTCGCTGTAGCGTAGTGTCTGAGTAAAATAATGTCGAAGTAACATATTGTCGGAGTAACGTAATGTCTGAGTAAAATCATGTCGACGTAACATGTTGTCGGAGCCGCGTGTGTCGAATTCAGTTTTAGAGTCGACACAACCATATCATCAATCATAGTGCATAATATTGATATTAGGAACAAAAATAAACTAGCAATTCTTGACATCCCGTCCTCGCAAGTGGTCGGATATTGTAATGGTTATAATCATGTTCATTTTTCTCCTGTTAATTGCTGTTCGAAAAATGGAAGCGACGATTTAAAATACATTTTTTCTTTTTTTTAACCGACTTTACTTTTACTATCGCGAGATTTTTTCTGTACAAACGCCCGTTCCGTGTTAGCGAACATCAAATTGTAGGTAAATCCGATTATACGACCACTCATCATAAAGTCTCATCTATGCATTAATTAACCTCTTTGTTGGTTGGTCAATATGTGAACCTATATTTAAATAAAATTACTAAATATGTTAAAAATTTGCCATTTACGAGGTTAAAAACTATGGAGAAACAAAAATATTGCACAAGAGCACGTCAAGCTTGACACATTTAACTTTGCACCGTTCTTATCGTAAGCGGTATAGAGTTGGATTTAAATCTTAAGTATCAAGCTTGACGTGCTCTTGACCCTGTACAAAAGATGAATTTTACTTAGCTTCTGTGTGTTTGAATAACAAAATTTGCATGCGAATTATCCGTTTATCTCTTTTAGAAGATATTTTTATTATAAAACGTGTACATGATAATGTGAACAAATATCTATTTACAAACGGTAATCCGTTGCAAATTAATATTAAGTATTTTGTAATCAATTTCACAATTTCAAGTCGTCGGATAAATTCATAAACTTCGTAACCATAATT